TATTCACTATTTTCAACATACCTTTTTTATTATTTTAAACATAACTATGCACATTATGAAGAAGTTTTATTAAAGCAATTTAATAAAAATATAAGAAATTCCTTACAAATACTTAACACCACAGTATAAATAAAATTTTAATTCAAAAATCGAAGTTGAGCAGCGTGTTAAATGCCAAGAAAAAATTTACACGTTGTATTGGCCACTGAGGCAAAAAAATTCAGTTTCGAAACGCTTAGTCACTTATCTTATGGTGGAGGGATTTTCATCACACAGAACTTCTCTGACCGACCCACATAACAATAACGAAGAGTACAAGTATTCGTGGAGATGCAATGATGAGGTGTGAAGATGACCCTATGTATATATGTACATTTAAAAGTGTATTGGACTGCTATCTCTCACTGGTTCTTCGTTGCGATCGTTAAGGCAATATTTTTCTGCCGGGCTAAATGCGATTTTGAGCATTCCTCCAGCAAATATAGTGATTAAACACAGAGCATTTCTATCTGCTACGAGGCTATATGCTGCCGCTGCCACGCAATTGAATGTCAGTAATTAAGGACAAAGTAGTATAGCGTTCCTCCTTAGCATACCAATAGACTACGAATTGCGGCGCCTGATTTTCGGGTAGCTGTTGTCAGCTACAATAGAGACGAACAGTTTGAAAAACAGCTGGTTTTGAGCCCAACTAGAGATAAGTTACCAAACTATTGCAGTATCTTCCAATCCGAAATATATGCTTTAAAAGTGGCGCAAGAGCGCTATCGCAGTGTACGGGCTTTCAAAGGAAAAGAACACACATTTATGGTCATATAAGACTTCATTTCATAAAGCACAAAGTCAGCTATAATAATTCAAGTGTTATCTGAAAACAGAGGAGCTTACATTTACTGGGTACCAGGTCACTCAGGCATTCAAGGTAATGAGATAGCAGACGAACTGGCCAAGGAGAGTCATTTTATAGCAGAACGTAATAATGATCTTGACAGTTTTATGAGGAAAAGTGAAGCAACAGCGAGCAGTAATATTACTTTGTCAGGCGAAAAGATGAGCTGAAGACTGCAGAAACACGAAAATTTTGGGTAAAACTTATGATGCTAAACTTTCTGTCGGTAAAGAAGAGAGTTTCCGGGCTGTTGATAAAACCCTTAACGGGACATTGCATTTTGTACAGGAAATGTAAGGAATGCGTAATCTGTGAGTGTCCAGTATTCGGCAGACAAAGGCTACGCCTACTTGGCGCATAAAGGCTACTTCGATTTGCGAAAAGAAAGCAATGTTCTTATTATAAGCGGCCACAGTAAAGAGTGTAACACTGCAGCTTGGCAACACTATAGATATATTATCGCTTATGTAATATGCAATTGGTCAGCCAGTTCAACCAAGCCTTAACTAACTTGGAAAATAATAAGAGCTGCAGAGCTGAATACGGCAAGTACAATCTATAAGAATGTACAGCTGCTAGCTTATTTCGAGGAAATTGACATTATTGTCCTGAAATACCGCGCCATGAGTTCCGCTTTCTCCAGACGAAGTTGAGGCGTCATCACATTAGCGACTCGGCACTCACGTCACTGTTGAAAGTCATAACTTTGAAGTCGTAGATAACTTCGTGTATTTTGAAACCAGTATTAACACCCACAAAAATGTCAGCCTTAGACGGTGAATTACTCTTGCCAACAGGTGCTACTTTGAAGTGAGTAGACAATTGAAAACCAAACTCTGCAAGTCGCTCATCATACCCGTCCTGCTACATGGTACGGAGGCATGGGCGATAACCACATCTGATGAGTCGGCCTTAGGAGTGTTTGAGAGGAAGGTTTTGCGTAAGATTTATGGTCCTTCTTTGCACGTTGTGTAGAGAATGCTCAGAGTAGGCAAACTACAAAGATGATCGAATAAAAGGGCAGTGCTATTCTGGTTAGACCTTGCCCTCGGAATGAATGGTTCTAGCTGTGAAAGTATTTGAAGCAGTTTATGACAGTGAGAGCAGACGAAAAGGAAACCCTTCACTCCTTTTAAAGGATAAGAGGAAGACCGATGTTACATCATTTGATATTTAAAAAAAAAAAAAAAACTGACTAGAAAAAGATGTATTTACCCATGCCATGGTCACGCAAAGAGCACAGTCATCGGTTGCATTTTATCAAAAAACACGCAAATTGAACTAAAATGGGTCACGGTAAACGTTCTACTCCTAAAAAAAAGCATTATTTATAACATCTGCTGTTGCAGAATTTTAAGTTTTATTGACTGTCCCCGCAAACTGGTACAAGAGAGTCAGTCAGAAATCAGCTACCTCAAAACAAATCCAAGGCAGCAGCACCGCGCAGGGCAACGATTTTTGAAGACTGCGTCGCTAACCAAAAGATCAAACTGGATTCTTTTAAATTTTCTAGACGAATATTATAGGAAATAAACGAAGAATTCGACTTGAATATATCAAGAAACACTGTCGGAAGGCTTTTAAATGAGGTCCAGCTCTTCTGTCGAGACGGTATATAAAAAAAAACGGTTGTAGTTTGCTAAGTCGCATGAAAACCCGAGAGCTAAGTTTTTTGCCAAAATGAGTTAGGGATCGATGGAAAAATATATATATATAAAATAATAATAAGCCCGTGGTAAACTAAAAATACCACAAATCATTCAAGCGGTAATCTCATGATTTTGGGGGCATCCGCCTGGCATGGAGTAGGACCAATCATGCGAATAAATGGTAAAACGGACAACTATCAATATCTGAGCATTTTAAAGAATGAAATAAAATCATTCGTATTTAATTCCATGCCATTAAATTGGACTTTAATGCAGGATAATGATCTTAAGCACACTGCGAGGCTAACACAAGATTGCCTTAAAAAGGAAAATATTTGTGTTTTAGATTTGCCAGCGCAAAGTCCACACCTAAGTCCACTAGAAAATTTATGAACGATGTTAAAAGAGAAATACCTGCAAAAAATTTTTAAGATTACGATGATTTGTGCCAGGACGTCAAGGTGGAGTGGTACTCCATACCAAAAGAGAGACTTGTTGAGAGCTGAGACGCAGATGCAAAGCTGTTATTAAAAGTCGTGGATATATTACAAAAATAAAATAACAGATAAGACCTACTTAATACTAATTATGGTTTGATATCTGGCCTATTTGAAATTATAATTAATTACAGTTTGCAGTAAGTGCTATTTGCGTGACCAGGGCATTTTAGTAGGAATCTCAAAACTTTGAATTATTTTAAGTTTTCATTGATTTATTATTAAGTTTTTGTATTAAAGTTGTGTTAAATAATATGAATGAATACATCGATACAATATTTTCAGCACAATTATCCCTTGGTTTCATTATTCATATTTTGGAAGGAAAGTTGTGCTATTTGTATGGCCATGGCGTTATATACAAATGAATCGGAGGATTATATCATATACTCGTAGAGCCTTCAACCGATTGCTTTAGATATGAGAGCTTGGACTAAAACTCTGTCAAAAAAGCATCTAAAAGTGTGAGATTAGGTATTATACACACGTATATGCAAATGTATTGACATTGAGAAGGCTCGACCCTGGCGACCAACATCCAAAAAGTCATGGAAAATTTATTTAAATAAAAAATTAAATTAAATTTTCTAATTTCCGTCGCCCCGCGGCAGGGAATGTCCACCCTTCCGAGTGCTTTTATGACATGAAATAGACGTTCGGAGGCGGCCTAGTATACACTGTAGGTCCATCGATTTGTTGCAAAAAAAGCAAGACGCAAAACAACAAATTGGAGGAAAAGCTCGGCCGAAAAAATCACTTCAGCGGTTACAAAGCGGATATATATATACACAAATTGACAGCGAATATAATCGAAATCGGAAAACTTCCTCATATAGCCAATCCAATTAATTTTTTGGATATGACAATTAATTAATTCATTTACTCCAAAAGGAGAAACCATAAGTTTGATATGGTCCTTAAAGGAATAAAGTCTTCGGAATGACCGAAGATAGTTGTTCTTTCATGTTTTTATTTTAATTTTTTTTTATACATTGAGTGTGCTTAATTCTACTACTTTTTTCTACTTTTATGAGTAGTCTTCTGAATTCCTCCTTTTCTTTCGGCCTATTTTATATATAAAAAAAAGATAGGCAATATTGTAGAGAAACATCACTCCTTTCCAACATTCTCTAATGATTACATCTCCTTTTTGCACTGCATAGAATAAGTTGTTGTTGTTTGCCTCAAAAATAACTTAATCTCAATGATAACTTACTTACTAAATAAATGAAAAAGTAAATGGATATTAACAGTGTTTTAGGCGTGTGCAGCTAAGGTTATGGAGATCAGCAAACAGAAGAGGCCAGGAAATAAGCAAACAATAACTAATACATATGTACATTATATTTAAAAAAGCAATAATTTATGGCATACACTACGCTTAGTTTATTTGTGACGTTGTTAGTAGCAATCACATTGCAAAATAATAATTTAATTATACTACAATATATTTTAGACATAAACACAAGCTAAACAGACATACATACATACATATATATTATATATATACATTAATTGTGAACATTCATATACGTTTAAATACATACAATACAATTTTAATTTACATATATATACATACATATATACATTAAGCGATTTATTAGGAAAATTTGCGCAACTTTTATATATTTTTTTAAATTTTTTTTTATATTTTTTTTTTTTAGTATTTATTATTTAGGGATTTGCTAAACATTTTTATAAAAAAATACACCAATCATTGACGACTGAGAAAGTGAGCAAGCGTACGTAAAAGTTCACCTACTAAAAACAAACATTCAATTTAAATTCAAATCATATCAAAATTATTATAAAAAATAAAATGAAATGATTTATATTAATAGATAATTTATTTTTTATTAATTAAATTTTTTTTATACGCCAAATAAATTACCGTGAAACATCAATTATAAATAAATAATTATTACATAAAGCACTCATTACATATTCATTAAATGCACAACTTACCTTCTTAACGCTGCGAGTTGTCGAAAAGCCATCGCCACGACGATAATTATCACCCTGTGTTTTTGTGGAGAAAGTGGCAGAAATTAATAAGCAATCGAGGGAATTTAAAGCGCATTCTGTGCATACAGTGGCAGGCATACATTTTTTTTTTGGGTAAAAATAATTTTAAAATAAACCATTTCAAAAAAAAAAAAAAAATTCTCAAATAAAATGGTTTTAAACGGTTATGCTTAACAAACGCAGAAATAAAAATCACTAAATAAAAACATAATAAAATTTTGGGTTTTTTTTATCGTTCCTTGCAATGCCAATTAGAATAAAAATTACATTAAAAATACATACAAAGCGTATTTAATTGTTAATAATTTTTATGCAGCCACTGCATGATTTAATTATTTTAATTTAATTTATTTTAATTTTTATTATTTTATTTTATTTTACTTTACCTTTTTTAATTTAATTTAATTTTGATTTTTTAAATTTTATTTATTATTATTACTATTATTATTGTTTTATTTTATTTTTTATTTATTATATAATTATTTTGTTTTTTTTCTTGTTTGTTTTATTTTGTATATTGTCATTATTGTTTTATCCTTTATATTTAATTTTTCTATTATTTCATTTTATTTTACTTTTTTTAATTTAATTTAATTTTGATTTTTTATATTTTATTTATGTTATTACTATTATTATTGTTTTACTTTATTTATTATTTATTTTATAATTATTTTATTTAGTTTTCATTTGTATATTCTCATTATTGTTTTATCCTATTTATTTATTTTATTTTATTTGATATATTTTTATTATTTGATTTTACTTTATTTTTTTAATTTTATTTTATTTTAGTTAATTATTATTAATTTATTTTATGTTTTATTTATTTTATTTTGTCTTACTTTAATTTTTAATCTAAATTTAGTTTAATTTTATTTAAAACATTTTATTTTATTGCATTTTGCATTATTATATTATTTATTTAATATTAGTTTTATTTATTTAATTTAATTTCATTTTTTCATTTAATAAATTTTATTTCGTTTAAATTTATTTTATTGTATTTGTTATCATTGTTGTTTTATTCTATTTATTATATTTTTTGTTTATTTGTTTTTATTTGATTTATTATTATTATAATTATTTATTTTATATAATTTCCGTTTAATTGATTTTACTTTTTTAATTTATTATTATTTTAATTTATTTTGTTTATTATTAATTTTATTTTTTATTTTGCTTTATTCCATAAACATATTTTTAATCTTAATTTTTATTTTAAAAATATATAATTTAATTTTTCGTTTACATTATTTTATTTCTCCTTATTTTTATTTGCTTTAATTATTTTTATGTTATTTATTTGATATTATTTTTTGCCTACTTTATTTTACTTTATTTGTTTTTTTTTCTTGCAATTTTTCTTATTTTGCTTTAATATTTTATTTAATGTCATTTTTGTTTTATTTTACTTTATTTATTTTTTTGTTTTATTTTTTCATGTTTTTGATTTTATTTATTTTATTTTATTGATTATACATTTATCCTTTTATTTTATTTGATTTATTATTATTTTAGTTATTATTTTTATTATTTATTTGATTTTAATAAGTTTATTTTAATATAATTTAATTTTATTTTATTTCATTTATTATTATTACTATTTTTTACTTATTTTATTTTATTCTGTTTTACTTAATTTTTTTTAATCTTAATTTTTATTTTTGTATTAAACTATTTAATTTAGTTTTTTATTTTATTTTATTTTATTTGATTTTACGTTAAATATTTACTTTAATTATTCTTATATTTATTTATTTAATTTTGTTTCTATTTATTTTATTAATTTATTTTTTTAAATTGATTTAATTTAATTTTGTTTTCAGTTATTTTATTTCATTCATAATTATTTTTGTTATTATTTTACTTTGTTTTTTTTTTTTTAATTTAATTTTCTTTTATTTTGTTCTCTAATAAAATATTATATATTCCTATTTTGTCAGCCGTACTTACCATCACCTGATGCGATCGCAGTGTACCGAAATTATCACGACCGCGATATGTCTGTTGAGTATTATAGCCATCGGGCTGGAATTGGAAGAGCGTCTCTGAATTGGGACCATGATGATGCATGGGTTTGCGTAGTGTACTCTTTGGTGAATGTTGCATTTTATTTTGTGGTGGTGGCTGTGGCAATAATACCGGTTCAGCGTACGTCACCTCCTCCACTTGAGGTAGCAGTTTGGGCTCCGCTTGTATGCTGGGAGGAGAAAATGGTATGCTAGTGAAGTGTAAAAGTAAAAGCAAGTATATAAAACCAATACACACACACAAATACGTTTTTCAACTATTTACCGATTAACATTTTGACGCTGCTCAAAGTACTCATACTCCGTATCGGGATATGGTAGATTATCATCTTCGTCCTTATGACAACGTCGGCCACAGAAGTAGCCTGTAAAGAAGCCCACTAGAAGGGAGAAAATTGAACCAGCTAAGACGGCCATAACGAGCGTTTCGACGGTATACTGCGCATTGATAATATCTGCTGAAATTTGTGGACCTTTGTTTAGTAGTTACATTTAGCACAAAGTTAATGGGTAGTTAATTTATTTATTATTATTATTTTTTTTTTTGTAAAAAAACGTTGAATTTTTTAACAAAAATTTTTTTTTTGGAAAATATTATTATTATTTTATATTTTTGCAAAAAATTTTTGGAAGGAAAAAGATGTTTTAAATATATTTGAACATATATATATATATATTTTATAAAATTGCAGTATATTTTGTTTTTGTTGTGTTCAATTCCGAAACGCATGGGTTGGTGTTTTTATTGTTGTTCGTTTATTTATCGGATTATATCGGGCGTACAAAAACCAAAATAATGATATATGTATGTATATGTGTATATATCAATACAACATCAACACCAACATCAAAGAGCAAAATTATGGATTTATGTATGTGCGTGTGGGTTGTAACAGCAACCATTTAACCATTTAACCAACCAACCAACCAACATCAATGATTACGTTTTACGCACGAACAGCACATATATATATAAATATATATATGTATATACGAGTATTTGTATGTTACATTCAGGTGGATAAACGCCAAGATAATATATTTGTTATATATATTTTTTGTTGTTGTTGATAATCAAAGATAAAAAGAAAAGAAATGAAAAGAAAAAAGGAGGAGAATAAGAACATTAATAATTAGATTGCAAAAAGGAAGTCAAATATTTAAATGTATATGTGCGTGGATATAACGAAAGTATCATTAAATGGAGGGAGCATGGTACATACATATGTAAAGGAAGATGGTGATATAGGAAAACTAATAAAGTTTATTGTTTAATAAACTATGTGCGAAAATGATATTAAAATAAAATAAAATTTCATTTTGTTTGACAAATTTACGTGTATAATTGTGTGAGTAGGCTTTCACTACAAAATAAACTATTTCAATTAACTTATACATTTTTTTGGAGGAATTGAAAAATATTTTTAATTACAGCAGGTTCTTAAATAAAGGCATTTTTTATATAATAAAATAAGGGCTCCTCGTAAAAAACCATCAACCGTTCGTAGACATCTTAGTATAAACTGAAGGTCTTTACATTTGTTTTAAAAACATTCAGACGCTATAGCACAAATTGGAGGAGGTCGAAAAATCGCTGCAACGGTTACAAAGTGCTATCATATATATATATATATATTTAAATATAATGTCAAGGATGACATCGAGAGTTGAGGTAGTCCTCATTCCGCTTGCTATACTAAGTAGACAGATACGTTTCATCACTTTCAAGCATTTAATGAGGCACTTTGTCTTTAACCTCTTGTAATCTAAGCGCCACAAACATTTGAAAAGTGAAGAAGTAAAGTCATAACTTTTCTTAACTGAGGCTTCCAGCGCATCTTCATCCATATATAGGGGCATACTTTTCGTGGCTTCAAAAGTATAGGACTGTATTTTGACAGCTGTTAAACTTAATTGTTAAACTTCACTGGCAAAACATGTTTGGTTTTATTTAAAAGTCATTTATTTATGAAAACAGATCACTCAACAACCGCACAATGCGTTTAAATTGTAAAAACCTACTACAAAACCAAAAAGGGTGGTTCACGCGTGGCCACGTTACGTGTTTTAGCAGAAGATTATGGTGGACATAATCGTCCAACTGTCATCGTTTTGCTCGTTCCACCTCAAATATCGTTACTCTAGGCGAAAATGTAACTAAAGAACATGACTTGGACAACATGTGGTTTCAACGTGTCACACAAACGTTAACGTGCGATGTAACACCGCAAAAATCCGTGCTTGTGAGATTAAATCTTCTACTCTTGTGCACTTGAAAACCAGCAATCATCAAGTTCCGGCTAACATACCACCCAATATGTGCCAAAAAGTGGTCGAAAACTGCCTCAAAGGGATATAAGTTTGTAAAAACTCGGGAGGCAGTCATTTTTTTTTTGATAAAGTGTTTCCCATTAAAATATATCATGAGTGGCAGACATCCAATAATGGTGGATTTAGCGGAATGTGGACCTGGAATCGGCCTTATTAAAAAAAAAGAATTAATTTTTAATTCATTTGAATAACATAAAATTTTCATGCAGCTCATGCCTGGTGATTGGACTATGACCGATTTATTCGAAAAAAAAAATTATTTATCGTTTGAGTTACAGAAGATACATGCCCCTAAATAATTATGGTGAACCATTTTCTTCCGAGAAGTGAATCTAGAGTTGATGTATTTGAAAAAACTCTCATTTATGGATCGATTTACTACCGATCTATTCGAAAAATCTGTATTCGTGCTATGATTTCATTGATATATGGAATATAGATGGCCTTTCCATTATGTCAATGTGTTTTTTTTAGGCTAATTTTTTAGTGAGATGATCACGCTGCTTATCATGAAATTGATCATTCTTGGCACCAATCGGGATTTTACATTTCTGAGGCAAAATCAGGTCCACTGAAACTTCTAAAATAACAAATGCTGTGGACTGTTCATCGACATTTTTGGAGCAAATGTTTTGAGACGATGGAAGGGGAACCACCGCACTCAAGAACAACACTATACACAACTTACATTCCTTATTGCTACCAGGCCATCATAATAAAATAGAAAGATTTTGAAGCAGAAATTTATTAAATCTATTACAAGTTAATAGGAAAGTTAACAGGTAAAGCTACTTCCTTTTTATTGCATAAATCAAGGCGTTTTATGAAAATGTTGTAACAGGCAAGTTTGCCTACATTATACCAGGCGGCCATAATACACAGCAAGGCTTTTGAATGAAGCAAGGACATAAGAAGTTAACGCTGAGCTAAAACATACTTTTGGGATATCATTTAATTTTCTTTAGATTAATTGTGTATTTTAAGGCGTTGTAAAAAAAGTTGCAACAAGCAAGCTTGCTTTCATTATACCAGGCGATCATATTGGACAGCAAAGCTTTTGCAAAAAAGAAGGAGGTTAACTTTTGGTCATTGCATACTTTTAGGAAATTATATGTTTTGACCACTTTCCGTTGCATACTTTAGTACGTATAATGAGGAAGTTGGTCCTATCAACTTTTGAAAAAAGAGAGGAAGTTGGCTCTCAGACCTTGCATACTTTATGGCGTCATTTGAAAGTTGGCTGCACCAAACGATCATAGTACAACAACCAGATTGAAGCTGACCTTTCTAAGGAAATATATTTGGGAATAAATATGTCGTTTGTCGTTTGGAGAAACTTTTCATTGCTCTTAATCACTCTGAAGTTGTTCAAACAACTTAAGCTTGAAACTAAAATCTAAAGAATTCCGAAATAAATATTCCTCTAGCTTTTTGGAAAAGTTTCACCTCCAGTTTGTAGTGTGCGGCTTGAGCTTCGGAGCGTTTTTTATTCTCTTGCTGAGGGTCGACTAAACTAGTATAGCCGAAAAAAAATTGGAATCGATGACTATCTCGAGTCATTCACAGAACATGTAAAGCCCTTGATGATTGTTCGCCTTCAATTCTTGCCCGAGTTGGTTTTTGCAAGCCCAAAAATCTTCCATAAAATGGATGGGCACAGCTCCAAGTGCTGCGCGAAATGGCAGTTAGACTGATTCTGCTTTTTCTTGATGCTTTGTGCCACAGCAGAAATAACCTCTTAGCCATCCCTGAGCATGCGCTTTACCCACTAGAGAGTAAACGATCCATGGTTGTTCAAATTACCGACTCTGCTGAGCGATTATATATGTATATATATAAATGCCACTTTGCAACCGCGGAAACGATTTTTGGTTGAGCTTCAATTTATGGTGAAGAATGGAAGTTCCCGCAATTCATTCTGGGCCGCTTCCGAAGAGCCGTTGGATTTTTATGAGTAGCTTTTGTATCATGCATGAATGCACTTTGCTTGGTGCTTATCGCAGTTTTTCTCCAAATTTAAGGGAACAAAAAGAAATATATTTAAATAAAATTATTATTTACGCCTTAGCCGCATTCAGTAGCGTTCTGCTATGAATATTCTTAGCTAAATTCAATATTTTTGAAATAAAAAAATAAATTAAATAGTATTTAAATAAATGAAATCATGCTAAAACTCCTAGAATGGGTGTTATTGTATTAGAAACATATAAAGCGTACAATTATCAAGCAACAAAATTCGCAAATTAATAACTGAAACAACAACATGCATAATAATGTCATGTAATGGCTAGTGTAGACCAAAAAACTCACAAAAAGCTTGGAAAGTTGTTGCCTAATTATGTATGTATACACAGGGTGGTCTAAAGTATTCATCTAAATTTTTATTATAAATATTCTTACTTCTTCAGAAAACTCTATCTAAACTAGTAGAGGGATTCACTATTCTATTGGGTTGCCCCAAAAGAAATCGTCGATTTTTGATACAGACGGTGCCGACAATTTTATAATTTCTTTAAAGGAAAAAAAGCTGCGTTGTATGCTAAAAAGTTGCTTAATTTGTAAGGCCTTCAAAGAAACTAAGTGCCGAAGTTAGTTTGTCAAATGGCGGTCGGGAGATTTTTCACTTAAAGAATCGGAGTACGAACCAGACCAGATTTATATCACATACCTCGGTCTATGCATAGTCTTAAAAAGCCACTCAAGCAAAACCAAGAAAAAAACTTGGATCTTTCAAGTTCAATAACAGTCAAAAAGCAAGCCAAAATTTTTTCAAAATCTTTTTTGAGCGAATTGAATTTAAGCCTATATTGAGTGTTTATAAGGTTAAACGAGTGGCATTCCGCTGTACGAATTTATAATATCAGATAAATGTGCGGAGGCTTCTATTTAAATTTTCCAGTAGATCGGGTAAGGTACCCCCTAACGATCAACATTTCGGGCTTACTACTTACTAGTCCAGTCCTACAGTCAGGTCGATGTGATAACTGACAGGTAGTGGTAATTGAATCTCACCTTGGATGCAGTCCGAAAACAGACTTTTTCTGCCCGTCGGCATTATTACTTTGGCGTTTGAAGAGTTCACAAAACCAGTTAGTCGGCATTTGGAAGCAGATTTTTCTAAAATCACCTAGATGAGCCCTGTTGATAATGGCAAGTTATTCATATTATGCGCGATGTAAAAGTGACTTGAAATATACTCTTCCGTAAGCGCTGAATGATTAGAGCACACGGGTTATTAGTGACTTTTCAAGAAAAGTCGAGGCCGTGAGGATCATTATTTACCTGACGAAAATATCATTTATGATCAGGTCGACATAATTTGTGACATTTTAAGCAGAGTGATGTCTCGCAAAAGGTTCAAATGCGATCGGAAATGCCAGCTAGGAAAGACAGTGTTTTTAATCCAATATAGCTAGGATTGGCGCATCCCTTTCGTATACAGAAAGCACCGGCTAATAGTCGAAAATAACCCTTAGCGGTAGCATAAATGCGAATATGAGAGCATTAGAAGTTACCGTCAACTGTTTTTGAGTAGGTCATAGATGAGCAATTGGTTTTGTGATTTCATGTGATTTCATAAGATAAACTGCAGATCTTCCACTAAGCTGAAAGAAGCTACTTTAAAAGAACAATAGCTTTCTCGCTCTAAATAAATAATAATAGCAGCGAGATGCTCTCTAAAGTGAGTGATTAGTGAACGAAATGTGCATAATATAAAATAGGGATTTTGTTGCATAGTTTTGGGCGATTCATTTGTCCGAATAGTGAAAGCTCATAAGCTTTTTTTTTGAATTACCAATGTGATTCCTTACTAAGTGTATATTCAAATAAATTTGTGCAATACTAATCGAAAAAAAATTGTCATTTATTATACATACATACATGCACAACAACAAATAATCCATCTTACATATGTACAAAACTGGATTGGGATGGGTTGGATTGTTTTATTTTGATATCAAAAATCAATGCATAATAATTTTTAGAGGAAATTTCACATTTCATTATTGATCTTACCTTCGAAATTTTTATCACCCATAATATTGATGATCTCCTGGTCCTTGCCCTGACGCCGTGAATCCAGTAAATCCATATCATCGCGATAGCCTTTTTGTTCGCCAACATTCGCATCTTTCGAATTGATTTTACCTGCAAATGTGAATGGAATGTATGCTGAGAGTAGAGGCGGTGCAATGTAAGAGTGCAAAAATAGTTTTATGTTGATGGTCGTGGTGTTGGTGGTGGTGTTGGCAGGTAGTATTAATATGGCGAAAATATTTATATGAGTATTGCAATAAAATGTGTGCAGAGTATAACAGTGGAGGGTGGAAATGAAAGATATCCAGAAGAATGAAGTATGGCGCAATCAAAATGATATATGAACCCAGGAAGATAAATGATAAAAATGATAGATACGGAAATAAAGAATAAAAAAACTTTATTAAATTGAAAATATTGGAAATAATTTTGGTAATTTTTTTTCTAAATAAAATAGCTGAAAATATTTCTAATATGTGTGATTCTCTATTAATCATTTTGTTTGATTTAATTTTATTAACTTTAAACTTATAAAAAATAATAAATTTTGAAAATTTTTAATTTTGGTTTATTTCATTTCATTTTAGTTTGTTTTATTTTATGTTCTTTATTTTTATTTTATTTTATAAAATTTAATGTATTTGATTTGTTTTTTTTTTATCATTTTTTGAGAACGGACCCCTTGATTCCACCCGCAAGTAGAAGCCGATCCTGGTAGCGAATAACTATTTCCGAGAGAAAGCATTATTTTTTGCCTCATCGAAAGTGTTCGGATATTTATGAAATACTCATGCATGTCTATGGTGAATTTCCACAGACTGATAAGGTCATGCAGACAGTAGTTTCGACGCTTAAAAAGTTACCCCTTTTGCAGTTAGGATTTCAAAAAATTTCCCGCTGTAAGGCATGCTTTTTGTAAGAGGCAACTAAAATCCAAAAGTTCCTGCGGCAGTTGGATCTTTATACCAGAACAAACTGGATTTCTATACTGCCAAGAACTATCACTACCGCAAAGAGTGCTTTTGTGAATATTTTTACGGATACAATAACAACTATAGTCTGGTGAGACCAAAGGGATGTGGTGTACAATGAGTTGTTAAATCCAGGCGAAACTATTGATGCCAAACGTTTTTCACTACAGTTAAGGTGATGGGGCCGTGTATTGCGTAAAAAGTGGGTAGAAACGAGCAAAAGGGTTGAAAAGGTAATTTTGCTGCTCGACAGCATTTGGTCCTACTTGGCTGTAACAGTAAGATGTTACCTGGAAATGCTGAATTGAGAGGTCTTACCTCAACCATTGTGCTCTCGCCCTTTTAAGTCTAAGTGATTGCATCGAGGACGGATAGACTCAATTTTTATAGAGATAGTATTCGAAAATGCATAGAGAGATGGAAAAAAGTAGTCTTTTTCGATGGGTAGCCACATGAATGATTTATTTATTAAGTTTGACAATAAGTAATACTACTGTGGGCGTCGATTGATTGTTAGAGACCTTAGTGATATGGTTCTAATATCAGAAGGATCTGTAAAAAAAAATTCGCGTAAAGCAATTCGCTTATGGGGCAACAATTCATGGGTTTTGCTTCACGACAATGCACCGCCGCACACAGCACTCATTCTTCGTGACCGTTTCGTTAAAAACTCCACGAACATCGTTCCCCAACATGTGACATCTGGCTCTTCCAAAAAGTCAAGAGAGGCCATACCAGAACGTGACTATTTGACATGCCTAGATAATTGGAAAATGCGTTGGCATAAGTATTTTTTTTCACAATACAGCCTTAATTTTCGAAATTTTATTCAAATTAATTTTTCATGTCTAATTTTATTTGAATTTTTTTTATTTTAGTTTGATTTTTAATTTGTTTTTTTTTTCATTTTATATATTTTCTTTTATTTTCATTTTGTTAAATTTTTTACTTTACTTTAATTAAATTAATTCTAAATTTTTTTTTTAATTGAATATTTTATGAAATTTTATTTGTATTTCGATCCACTTTATTCTTATTTAAATCAAAATATTTTACTATATTTGATTGTTCCATTTGCTTTTATATTTCATTTAATTATTTTATGTTACTTTTTTGATTTATTTTGTTTTACCTTGTTTTAGTTTATTTATTTTCTTTGATTTTATTTAGTATTATTTTCCGACGGCCGCGGTAGCCGAGTAGTTAGCATTGCGTACTGCCATTCGGAAGGCTCGGCTTCGAATTCTGATGTCGTACTAACATCCAAAAATTATAGAAAATTGATTTGAATAATAAATCAGGTTAAATGTTTTTAATTGCCGTCGCCTCTCGGTAAGGGAATGTCAACCCCTCCGTGTGTATTTCGGACATGAAATAAAAGCTCCTCATAAAAAACACTCAGTCGTTCGGAGGCGGCTTAGTATAAACTGTAGGGTACTCCATTTGTTGGAAAAACATTCAGACGCAAAACTAGATATTAATGGAGGAGGTCGACAGAAAATCGCGTCAGCAGTTTCAATATCTATATATGTAAATAAATAAATTATATATATCAGGTGTACAACCATGCTTCCGCCGTTTTTTTCCAAAATTAAAGGCTTTATTGCGAAAAAGTGCTTACATATATATTATTCAAAGTATTGTCCTTCGCTAGCGACAACTTTCTCCCATCTTTCCGGCAGTTTTCGGATCCCGGCTCGAAAAAGGAGTCCTCTTTTGACGCTATCCATGAAGCAGTCCATTTTTCCAATTCATCGAAGGATTGAAAATGTTGATCTGCCAGGCCGTGTGCCATCGAACGGAATAGATGGAAGTCAGAAAGGGCGACTTCTGGGGAATAGGGCGGGTGGGACAACACTTCCCATTTCAGCGTTTCCAGGTACTTTTTGACCACTTTTGCGACGTAAGGCCGAGCATTGTCGTGTTGGAGGATGACTTTGTCATGTCGCTCTTGATGTTGTGGCCGCTTTTTTGTGACTAAATACGTGTCATTTTATTTTATTGGATTTCTTTTATTTTTTTATTTATTTTATTTATTTTTTTTTTTGAAATTATTTTAGTTTGGACTTCATTTCATTTTTTTTATTATTAAATTTTATTATTTCATTTATTATAGTTCGTTTTGTTTTATTTTAGCATATTAATTTTGTTGATTTATTTAATTTAATTTATATTTTTTTTTTTTTTTTTTTCTTTACTTTATTTATTTATTTTTGTTTATTTTATTTCGATTTACTAATTTTTATTTGGAATTTGTTATTCCTATTTTGTAGTTTGTTATTCTTTTGTTCTATAATATTTTAGTTATATTTATTTAATTTAATTAATTTATGTATATACTATTTTGTTTCAATATTCTTTGTCTTATTTTATTTAATTTTAATTTTATTTATATATTTTGCATAGTATTTTTTCATTATTTTCTTATTTTGTTTTGTTTTATTTCTAATTTAATTTCTATATTTAATATATTGTCCTTTGTTACAAATGTGCATGTCATTCAATTCATTCGATATTTTCCTGAGAAATTCATAAATTTGTCATTTTCGTTTACCAAGTATCGCGCCAACTGTGGAATTTAATTTTAGTTCAACTCTTGGCAGTTTGCCATTATCTGGCTGGCACACATCCAAATCCCTACTTGGAGTTTCTCTCATGAAATGTTCGTTATTATAATGACAAAATAACACAAAAATTAATATTGTAGAATTTTTCGCTGTCCATACTACACTACATATATTTGTTGCAACTTTTCTCTTCGCTTTCATATTGTACATATGTAAATTTAATTTAACTTCAGGACATTGAGCCAAAAATAGACGACAAGAAATAAATTCTGTCAATCCGACACACTTACAAGTAAACGAATGAATGCACATGTGTAACAACTGGCGGCTTATATGCCTTTAACTATGTGTCTGTAAATTGTAGTGGTGTATATAAATATGTTGGTATGTACAATATAAAAATATGTTTAATATACATTGTATAACTGTAGCTTACCTGATGGGCATGCCGCATGTTGCCCAGTTGCAACATTCTGATAGAAATAATTTTCTTCCAACCAACGTGGCGCACCGTGCGAACGACATTTGCCAGCAATTTTATCCCAAGCGCAGTACGGATCCTGCAGCGCTACACATTCACTATTAACGAGTGAAAGTGTGTGTGTGTGTGCGTGTGCGAGAGAGAAAGAGAGAGAGAGAAATAGAGAGAGAAGGGAAGCAGAAAAAATTTAAAATTAAAATATAAATAATGAAAGAGTTGTGATTTTTCACATTAGGGTGGTCACTTCACGCCAATTAAAAAAATATTTATAAATAAAAGAAAATTCTTGATCGTTGGAAAAAAGTTTGTTGAACGCGGAACCAATTAAAAATCGTATAGCGAACATCCCATAAAAGTCGGTTCAAACTAGCTAATAGAACATATAAAGTCTAAAAAATCAACAGAACTAACTTCAGTAGTTGAGAGAAATTTTTTCCCTGTACGAGGCCGAATTTATATTAGACAAGCCTTGGATGACGGACAGACGAATGTATAAATTTAAGCTAAAGTAACCAAAGTCCAACTAGTGCCGCGTTTTCTGTGAATAGCTTGGTGCAACGAGAATCCAAACATTTTTATCCAGGGAGTATTTGCAGATCGCCCTTGGGCTTTTAGGGTGCATAGACACGTGTGCAGGACCTCAAGTTTAAAAGACTCAATAAGAATATATTCAATACTCAATTTATGCAACATTACGCCCTCAATCCCCCAGCCATGCGGACGGTGCGAAGAAATTTGTTTGAACGCTGATGTGCACTCGAGAGCTTTTAAAAGCTTCAAGCGATGGAAAGCTGCAGGTACCGTTGAAATCTTTTCTGCCTTGCTGCTAAGAGAGTAACATCTACTGTCAAAAAGATTTGTTTCGGTTTACTCTGCTTGCATCAGGACTCTTGTGCATGTGTCAAGAGTCCAAGGAGATATTCATAAGGAGCATTACTCTATACCGAGGACATAAAGACCGATTAGTCTGACATCCTCTCCTCTCAGAGTATAGGAATCTGCGACGCTTGGACCTGCGGCATTTATTGACGTGGAGGATGCTTTTACGGAAAACGTATTGAGAGGCAATTGATCAGATCAATGTGGGAGGATCTGGTCAGTTGTCTCTCAACAAATTATCACGCGTTATAGAGAGGTCATTTGAGGCCGCAACTGATTAGGCAGAGAGACAAGGTAAACCCGGAAAAATCTGAGTTATAGCACTTTACTAAAAAGTAAAAGATCATTAATTTAAACCACCGTCTTTAAGGAGTAACATTACATTCCCTCCAGTATCTTCGTTAAGTATCGTGGTGTTATCTTTGATAAAAAAGGAGCTGGAGAGAGCATGCTAAATGCAGAGTCAGTAAAGCGCTCCGATTTTGGAATGCCTGCAGAACCGCTGGTGTCGTAAGTACTGCCGCAATAAAGACTAGCTAGCCGTCTGAATGTTCTACGCAGTTAGGTCCAGCCCTAAATTGTGGTGGGTATATTGATTTACAGAATGTTATATCGGAAGTCTAGGTTAAATATGAGGTTACGGGAGCATTATCAAATGGGCAGATGAGCGACTGCCTTCATGGAAAAATTTAGTAACTTAAAATCTCTATTAGCTGAGTAAAGTGGAATCTGCTGTGTGCAGAGCTTGTAAAGAGACTAGCAAGGTTACTGTGCGAATTTCAGTAACATCTTCCATTATGCAACCAGCTCCAGCTTCACGAAGGTAGTTGGGATACACGGAGGAGCTTAGCTGCGGCTAGTTATGAACAGGATCTCAAAATACCACATTCAGCCAATCAACTAACAAATTTTAAATTTTGCCTGCCTTTTTTTGCTTTCTTATGTTTTTTAATTATTTATTAATTACTAAAAAAATAAATTATTTTTAACTAACTGCTTGAATATATTAATTAGGTTGAACAATATGTACATATATATGTACAAAATCGAAGTTATATTTTAAAGATTAATTCTGGTTTATATTTGACTAATTTAATTTATTAAAAAAGATAAAACAATTTAAAAATAAATTGGAGACCACTTTTACTTAAGAAAGCCTTCTTTTATTTTGTTCTTCTTTTTATAATATAGTTTATATTTTCTCTGCAGTAGGCAACGTTTTCGATCAAAAAATAACTTTCCGCGAAAAATGTTTTTTTTTTTTTCTTTTTACAAAAATAAAACATTTATTTATCTTTGAATATCGTCTCAAAATGTTTACCCTAATAATATTTTTTCCTGCATTTTTGCATCAAATTAACTGACACATACGAGTACGTAAAGCGGTATGCAACATCCAGCCGCTGGTCAAACTCATTGCAATAGTCTACCACAAGAGTATCGCAGTGTGAAGTAGAACAAAAAATTAAATATAAATAAATCAAACATTGCTATACACTTACCTACAACTGGTGATTTTGTCATCATGACAGCGATGCAATTGTATTGCAATCACTTGGCTATCGGTGACAATGATTAATTTTCCGTCATCATAGCTGCCATCCTTTGGTTGATCTGTTGTGAAAAAACAAGACAAAAGTGAGAGAGAATAAGAAAAAAGAAACATAATAAAAGGTCATGTACGTAAATTATAAATTGTTAACAATGAACCGTCTTATTTTTGTTAATGCTAAAAATATGTTTAACCTTACTAAAGTATAGAATTCTGCGCCTAAAGCTATGCTATAAACAAAAGAATATTTTAAGCAATCAGTGAAAGAACACACAATTTTGATATGTAGTGACCGAACTTATTTTTCCGAGCTAATGATTTTATTTCAATAATGAGACAATGCATTTTGTGAGTGTTGCCAAACTAAGACTAAAAAGTGGGAGCTACTTGCTATGTTATGCTAACAAGCCTATTTTTACTGGCATGTTAGATAACATTGCTTGGGTTCATATTCTTGTGCCACCAACATCCAAAAGTTATAAAGTTTTAAAATTAATTTAAAATAAAAAATTAAATTAAATTTTCCAATTGCGGCGCCCTGGGCCAGGGAATGTCCATCCCGCCGAGTGTATTTCGGACATGAAATAAAGGCTCCTCGTAAAAAAACCATCAGCCATTCGGAGGTGGTTTAGTATAAACTGTAGGTCCCTCCAGCTCCAGTTGTTGGAAAAACATTCAGACGTAAAACCACAAATTGAAGGAGGAGCTCTGCCGAAAAATCGCTTTAGCGATTATAGAACGCCCATTATAAATATATATATATATATATATATAATGTCAAGGATGACTTCGAAAGTTGAGGTAATCCTCATTCCGCCTGCTATACCAAGTAGAGAGGCTCGTTTCATCACTATCAAACAGGAAATGAGGCACTTTTTCTTTAACCTCTTGTCATCTAAGCGGTGCGCAAGTCACGCGAATCCACACGGTATACACCATAGTAAATCTTTTCGCCAACAGATCTGTTCCAATTTGCCAGTGGAAGGGAAGCAGATTCCATCGGTACCGGCTGCTTTGAACGATTTAAAGCTTTAAAAATGATCTTGTCACCATTTGAGCGCGAAAGCAGAGTTCCATGACCTGTCCTTATATATAGATATTAACTTATATAAGTGACAAACTTCATAGTATGACAATACAGACCCATGCCACTCTATACGTCTATCTGTCTACCCATTTCTCTTTGTACACGATAACTCAAGTAAGGATTGAAATATTTTGATAAAGCTTGGTTCACACATTCCTTGAGTCATAGGTATGGTACAAAGTGGAACAAGTTCACATGCGCTTCTCATTAAATGATAATTTTGAAAAAATTCCATAAAATGAGCAATAGACCCAAATGCCTACCATCAATTTTTAATCGATCTGTGGACCTAATGTCATATAAATACCGAATATCTTTTGTTCTGTTCCAATCGAGCTTAGTCTTCTTCTTTCCTAGTTCTTTTGTTGTTTCTCCTTATTATTCTTCTCTTCTATTGTCTCATTACCACTTACCATATTGCATTGTGCGCACAATTTCCAAATTTCTGATTGGCTCACTCTTTGGCAGTACATCAATCTCCTCAATCACCACTGAGGATACCTTCGCTTCGGAATCGGCAGATTCAGCATTTACAGATTTAATAATCTTGCCATGATCTGTAGAAAAGTAAGAAAGAAAAATATTTTTTATAGTTATCTTTTCGTTTCTACTAGTGAAACAGGTTCGTAATAAAATCACAAGAGGACTGTATCTCCCTCCACCGCTTCATTTTATCCCCCTTTCTTACCCGTTCCAATGAATATCACATCATAAGTCTTGCCGCCGGGCGTTTTTATCTGTGCATCCACAGCAATTTGTGTGAAGCGATAACTGTAAGAAAAAGAAAATAAAATTAAAAATTTTTTAAATAAAATTTTGCACGTTAGTTGAGGTTAAGCATGTACGAATGTGTATTTGTATGTGTATAAAAGTAAATAAATATAAATCCATTGCAGAAGTCAAGTAGAAAAAGGATTGGCTGAAATTATCGCTTTGACTCGAGGGTGTGGCGTTGATTTTTGCTGTCTCTGTGGTATAATTAAAATGCACCACAACACGCTTCGTATAGACACATACTTACAAAAATACCTACAAACATACTTTCATACATATGTGAATTTATTTCATTTTATACTACGACCACTAGGTACACAAGTGTACATTTATCACTACTCCAAGTGCTGCCAAGCACAATGTCTTAGTTAATCACTACAATGTACGATGGATGATTGTAAAATAGATGTTAAGTATAAAAACTCCTGTGTAATAACAATGATTTTCGCTAAAAATGACAACGATGATACGAACTCTTTGCAGGTATATCTTTTTATATTTTATTTATGTATGCATGTGGCATTCACATCGCTAGTGCGCTCTTTTGATAATGTTGCCAAGGAAAATAATGATGGTAAGCCGTAAAAAAGAAAATGGGTTAGTAGCACAAAAATAGGATTATGTACAGCATTGTTGTATACTACATTCATAATTAAGTACGTGACAATGTAAAAAAATATAATTTTATTTTATTTAGAATGCTTTGGTAGAGTGTTGGTGATATAACGTTACGTGATTTCGTAGACAAAAAAACAATGTTTTTTGGGCTTCAAAAATATTTCTGTAAATTAAACGTTTTTATAATAAAATTTTCAGCATTTCAGCATTTCAGCCACGAAATCAAGAAATAATAATTCAAGTCAAACTACAAGTCTAGTATAAAGTAATCTATTATTTTTGCAATATGTTTTTTGTGAACTTATATATCGCGTTCTGTAAGTGTTATTGGACTAAGCTAGATGTCGTTAAAAAGATGATATATTTGTACTAAAACAGGTAATGAGTGAAGTGTTGATCACAGAACTTAGTAGTTTTGGAGCGCATGTCAAAAATGTAAACCAGCAAAGAAAAAATATGCTATATTCCACAATTTTTCTTCGATGAACTCAAAAATAAAAGTAAGTCAGCTGAAAATGTTAATAGTTTTTATGTAATATTGATGTAAAATATGCTCCACGGTGCAGAAAGTCAATTGTAGAAAATGTCGATAAAAGTATGTAAATCGATTGCACACAAAAAAAAAAAACAACAACTTGAAACCACTTGATAAAGGTTGGATACACTAAGAAGCACGATATCTGGGTGCCACATTAGTTAACGACAAAAATTCGCTTAGACCGAATTTCCGAAGATGATTGGTGTTGAAAAGTTGATCACTTACAGGATAACCAAAGGTGAAAAGTATTAATGGCAAGGAAGATTTTCGTTGTGTGTTTGAGCGAATTGGCAAGGAAGGAAGCAAGCGCTCTGAAGCGCCCAGCTTTGATCAACTGGAGGTGAATTGCGCTTCAACAGAACAACGCCAGACCAGCCACATCGAGAGCTTTATGTAGTAGGTGGTTTCTCGTAAATCTTTCAGCTCAAAGTTAAGTGAAGAATTTTCGAAACTCTTCAGCTCAAAGTTAAGTGAAAAATTTTCGAAACTCTTCATGGGCCTTGACAATGAGCTCGAACTCGCAGGTAGGTATTCTATTAAAGTGAATGACTATATTCAGTGGTCCATTGCCACATTCTTGCAGACTTTGTTAATTTTTGTGAAATCGCTTAACTTTTCTTAATAATTATTTTATCCTCATTTAAAGTTTGTTTTAAGATATTTAAATTATTTTTTCTGTTTTACAATAGTAAATTTGTATGTCGCCTGCATCGTATATAATTTTTCTCGAACGATTTTCTATTTTCCAAATTAACACTTGAATTGGGTTTTTTTGGTAAGAATCTAAAGCCATATACATACACATATATTTCTTTTTATTCAACGGCACTTAGTTTCCTTTACCTATTCAAAGACTTTTTTCTAGCATTTTTATTGATATTTTGTAGAATACCATTTCATATTCAGCTACATATATATATGGTACCAAAATATATTTAATAAGTGTTTTTTTTTATCATTGTGGACCAAGTGATGTCATATGGTGGATTCACTTGCGATATCATATGATAGGCCCACATGTGATGTCATATGATGGATCCGAATGCGATATCTTAGGATAGGTCCACATGTGATGTCATATGATGGATCTACATGTGATGTGATATGATATGATGACACATCACACAAACGGCTTAAATTAAACTATAATAATGACAAGCCATGGGGTTATTATCTAATAAATTTATGCCATAGGCATGATCAATAAATCTGAAAAAAAATATATATACCTATATTTCTGAGGTTTGCGTTAAGTCACATCATTTGACAGTTTTAATTACAAATAATATTTACTTATTTTCAAATTAGTTAGATAATTTCTATTTCTCATAAATTTAAAATAAAAGAGTGATATATTACAAAAAGCTAAAAGCTAAAAAATGTATATATGTATATATGATATGTATGGATATGAAATGCAAATTTGCATGAAATTTACTTAAAAAAACTCTCCTATCATCTCAAATACTGACTTTTTTGCTTATTGGCAATGCGTTCACCTTTGCTGTGCCTTTGTATACTTCTTCTTTACATTTTCAATTCGTGTTGTACTCTCATGTATTTGTTGTTGTTGTTGTTGTCGACTACAAATACTTATACGATTCTTAACTATGGCATGTGACTGCCATATTGGCTTTTGAAATTATTTGTGAGAAACTTAAATAATGAAAAGTTGCAAGTAAAGTAACTTTACGTAGCCATGCAACCGACTAAGAACAACAACAACAACAACAACAACAATATCAATAGCTGTGTAAGAAAACTAACAACCAACTATACGGTCACTAAGCCTTTCAACTATATGTATGTATCTATATATTTTGTTGTTGTTGTTGTTGTAGTTTGCTATCACGTGTATTTCGAAATTCGCATTTTAGTTTCACTTTTTTTTCAGCTTGTAATAAAGTTTCACATTTATTGTTGTTGCGCCACTAACTTGCTGGTATTTTCATTGTATTTTGTATGTACTCGCATATAAATATATGTGTGTTTTAGTTGGCTTTCTGATATATTTAGGGGCTTCAGATTGTCACTTAGTTGCACATTCAACTCATCGCGAAGTTGCTATCAAAAACTTTTCAACTTATTTGTTTGTATGTATGTATGTATGTGTGTATGCATTGAAGTTTTATAGATTTTTGGCTATGCAAGTGTAAAATTGTACACAATTACATACCCATACATACATACATACATATCTAAGCAACTGAAATGCATGATAACTGTATTTTCTACTACTTTCTTTGCTGGCTAGATGATGCTACTGATTGCAACTGTATCGCTTTAACTGCAGTTGTGTTGTGTGCTATATGTGAGGTCAACTACATTTAAGAAAAAAAAATCAACAAATAATAGTTTAGTTAAAACTTTACTTGGCAACTAAGAAAAATAATGAATTTTTGTATGTACAGTTGTGTGTATGTATGTACATATAATATGTACGCATTCACGTAAAAGAATATTTGAAAAATATTATAAGCTTCTATTGCATACTCGTACAGCTCGAGCATTTATTTTGCTTAAGAGAGCATGATTTCATGCGTTAAGCATTTAAATATTTGGCTCAAGTAATTTCGGAATTCAAATGCCAAGAAATAAAACTTTTCAATTTTCTTTTCTCTTTTTTAGGTTTAGTGTAGAAAAGTACATGACTGTACATATAAAGCGTGCATTTGAAAATTTTAAATACAATACATATTGCATAAACTTTTCAGGTTGTTATAGAGTAAGGGGCTTCATGAATTGCTTCTCTGATCACTCATACGCCCTGTTGTACTCAAGTTGTGTGCTGCCAATGTACATATTTAGGCTGTGTGTCTGTATTAGTTTGTTCGTTTTCAAATTCTTTGTTTTAATTCTACTTATTAGTAAATAAATACTTTGTTCATTTTATTTTTATTTTACTTTTTTTAATTTGCATAGTTTATTAGTTTATCACAAATGGCAAAATTAAAACTTTAATAATACAAAATATGCTAGCAAACAATATTTTGTGCAAAATCTCAAAGTGACATAAAATATTCAGAGCTTTTCTTTAAGCGCCCACAAGTCATGTTTGAGATAATCAAAAATTATAAAATATCACATTCGTCAGCAAAGAAAACTGCAACTCAAATCTTGTTTAGTGAAATCTATTTATATGATTTGGGAGTTGAGAGGATCACCAGCTGGCCCTACTTGACCGCTTGAACATCTGTCCCTGGGCTTTATCTTCAGTAATTTGATACATTTTTTGTCATGCTATCTGACCTTACCATTCTCTCAGGATATTGCGCTATGCCGGCTACCCTGCAGCCATTTTCGCCTCATAGGCCCAGACCTAATATTCTTTATCTTCTTCCGTTTGCTAGCTAAAAAAATATGCGAAAATCGCTTATAATTAAAATAGAATTTCGGTTTTCGACGTAAAACTGAGGAATATGTTCTAGCTTAGCTACCGGAGCGGTCCCTCTACATACGCCATATCGCTTAACCTTAAATACTAAGTTTTTGGTGTTTTGTTGCAACTCATTTTAAAATCGATCAATCAGGTGCACAACTTTGCTTCCGCCGTTTTTTTTCCCAAAATTAAAAGCTTTATTGCGAAAAAGTGCTTACAGATATATTATTCAAAGTATTGTCCTTCGCTGGCGACAACTTTCTCCCATCTTTCCGGCAATTTTCGGATCCCGGCTCGAAAAACGAAGTCCTCTTTTGACGCTATCCATGAAGCAGTCCATTTTTAAAATTCTTGGAATAGGGCGGGTGGGACAACACTTCCCATTTCAGCGTTTCCAGGTACTTTTTGACCACTTTGCGACGTGAGGCCGAGCATTGTCGTGTTGGAGGATGACTTTGTCAT